TAAGAGATTAACCGAAGGACTTGTTTACATGCATATAAGTATAACCAGTGGACACAAAACTCTGGGAAGAGAGAGCATGTATGAGAGTTGGAGGGGGGGATAGTAAGATATGTACACATATAATAATTTGATAAAAAAAATAAAAAAGAACACATAATACACAATTTACAAATAAAAAAATGTGGACAGTCTAGTATAAGATAAAAGGTGCAATTTCTAATATGTAATAAGGTATCCCATCATGGGTGTCACTGGGATTGCTATGTTTTTAGGGACTTTGGAGAGAAATTGTACGGTAATATCATAGTTTAATGTTGAATTTGACTTAAGGTTCTGAAAGTGTTAGTTCCAATGGTGTTAGTTCCAATGGTGTTAAAGCTGAGCAGATGAGGGCTCGGTGCCCCCAATGGCAGCCAACAGGCCCACAGGAACAATGTTGGGTGGGAATCGGAAGTCGGAGCTACTTGCTGACTATTCAAGCCCTCCATGTTTCAGTGAAGCCAGACTGTTTTAGGACCAATGCAATGTTTACCTTTTTTATTCTCAAAAAGGCAATTCTAGATAAAATTCTTGAATCTACAAGGTAGATTCTAGATAAATTTGTTGAATGCATCAGTGTAGCTTTCCCCCATCAAAGTTTATTATCCCCACTAGAATATTCTTCTCAAGTACAATAGTGCTATTTATTGATCATCAGAGTCCCAAATTCATTCAAATGATTTGCCTAGATTTTTAAAAATCCTAATTGTTTTGCATCCTAAACGTATGGACCACTATTAATGTACATAGTTGCTTTAAATCAAATGGTATATCCCGTATTTACTCAGTTATTCACCGCTAACGTCTAAATCGGGGGAAGTGAAAAGGACAATTGTTTAGCGCTCTTTCAAGTCCCTGACCGGGATCAGTAGGGAAATCCCATTAGCTCCATTCATCGCGTTTCTCATAAATCTAAAAGGAAAGCAAGTATCCAAAGCCTCCTTCTTTGGTAGTTCTTATTTGTAAAGCCTTGACAGGGCTTAATTCCAAATTGCTTCCAAATTATGTAAAGAATACTGAGAAATATGATGGGTAGTGAATCGTGATAGTTTCAGTTACTGAATAAATACCCAGAACACTAAAAGGGGACTAATCTGAAAGCAAACAGTCTGATGGGCTCCAGCGAGGCAAAAGGAACTGTGGCATTCTTCAACTGCCATCTGGCCCCGTCCTTGGAGCAGCAAGTCGGACGGCCTTTTATTCAGCACCCTGAAACGTATTCAAAGGAGCTGCATTTGAATATTAATTTTTCATATTGTTAACCACACACACACACACACACACACACACACACACACAAAACCAAGCTGTTTTTGTAGCCAAAAAGGGATGTTTAACAAAATAATCCCCTGGCTAACCACGAGGGCACGGGGCAACCTGTGGGTGGGAGCCCGCTGTGTGCGTGTGGCCGTTGGGCTGCTTCCAGGCTTCCACCTCTGCGGCCTCTTTGTGGCCAGAGCAACTTATTAAAGTTGTCATCACGGCTTGACATTGGGGCAGGAGGTGTAAAAATAAGGAATTCATTAGGAAAAACGCACGCAGTGATTTCTGCTACCTTTTCATCAAAAGAGAAAGTAATGTAGGATTGCCATGTAGGGTAATGGAGGCAAGGGATGGTAGAATTTGCAGTCCACTCTGCGTTTTTGGGCGATGTGAATCTGTCTCAGCACCTTCTGAGGGGCCCCCGACAATTGCCGTTTTGTTTACTAAGTCTTGGGATTTGAAATGAAACGATCAGAGGTCTTAATTTTGTTTTCAAGGTGTGTGTGTGTGTGCAAAGGGTCAGTTGAGTAGATAGAAGGCCGCTACTTGTCTTCGGTGAGATGCTTCTAAAAAGGTATTTCAGCACTCTCTCTGGTTTAAAAGCCAAAACCAAGTCCTGCTGGCTTTGTGCTGTGCTTCTCTTACAGCCTGCAGTGCCTTCTGGCTGCTGCAGGGAGTGGCATCTGCCACCGGGGAGGAGAAACTGGCATGTGTCGCCTGTGAGAGCAGACTGATTGCATCGTGCTTGGGGCCCTCTATTCCAGAGCCTGTTGGTTCAGTCTTCTAGATGACTTGCTGAAGCAAACAGACTTTAAAAAGATTTTGACTTACATCCCCCCCCCTTTTTTTTTTTTTAACTTTCATGACTTTTCATGAAATAATATTTTAAAGAAATGTGCCAGAGCTGAACTTGGTGACTCAATTTTCCGTTTTAGGATTAGTTATTAAAGATAAGCCAGAAATATGGCTACCCTTGTATGAACTGACTTTGATGTATTTGATCAGTTTGAAAAAAAAATATACCTTTTTGATTGTATGTATATATTTAGTTTGACTATAAATGTCTAAAAGCATAAATATGTAATTGATTTTTAGAATATATGCATATACACACATAAACAAGAGACATATATTTATATTTGCAGGTGAAAACTTAACAAGTTCAACTTATGTGATATAATGCATATAATTAGTATGCATTGTATTTGAAGACATAAAGGGAGAAATCCAGAAGAAAAATGTCAAAAAGGCACAGTAACAAAGATGTAGTGTTCTCTTGGCAAAACCTGATGATTTGGTATGAATTCACCTTACAGTTGTTATTCTCTCTTGCACAGGATGATATAACCAGTCTTCCAATTGTTCGCATAGATTGCAATTTGCTGTTTCTACTCCATAATAACCCTAGGGTATGCACGTGACTCCCTTCCCACCTGATCGGTGCCGAGTTTTTCCCATCTATCCTTTTCTATTTTGTCATGTAACATTGACACTTGGTCAAGCAAACAAATATAACCACTGCACTTGAAACTGAAATAGTCTTTATGAAAAGCTGGAGAATGAAATCATTTTACAAAACTCCATTCTACCAAAATCATATATTATTTCAGCTAGTGTGACCTCTTGAAAGCTCTGGTTTCCAATGCTTCCCGTCCGTGAAAACGGAGTCCACTCTAGAGCAAGGGAGCCATTGCTTAGGCTGAGGCGGCTCTGTGGATAGTCAGGGTGTTACCTGGTAATAAATGAACAATAAACACACTTAAAATGCTGTAAAGTGGTAAAAAAAAAACCAATGTAATATTGTTTAAAGAACAAAGCATGGGACATTTCTACTCCAGGATTAGGTATGATCGATTTATATCATTATTGATCTTATGTTTATTAAATATAACGTGTTTTAAATGACTTAGAAATGAACTCATCTCGGGAAGGTTAATTGTGAATATTAACCCCTGCGATATGGGGAAAGGTGTCATATGGATTTCTAAAGGTCTGAGATGGGCCGCAGCCGCTACTCTGTCCGGCAGCCACAGTTACTTTTCCATGTGCACGTTGTTGGGGTCACAGCACACTCTTCTCACTGGAGGAGACTTCCTTTCAGAGGACAGACACGTGTAAGAAAGGCTCTCCTCTAGGAGCACTGTTTCCAGTTTTCACTGATAACCCTGCACATGTGCACGAGGTGCCTCCAACACAGTTCATTAACATCATCTGCGGGGCCGGGGCAGGTACTCAAGTTGTGCGCAGGGTACACAGCTTCTTGGCTGTGGCTAAACCTCACTCCAGCTCCTGGTTTGAGTTTGGAGAAGTTGTGGGAATTAAGGCCGATGGCCCCGAACCCGGGCCGCGAGGCCAGAGGCGCCTTCGGGAAGGTTACATAACCGCGGGGAGAGGCCCTGAGGCCCCGCGATCGCTCCTACATTTCCTCGCCCCGCCGGCTCCTCCGAACCCGTGGGGACAACGGACAACTTGGTCCGCGGCCCTTGTCTCTCCCTTTTGTGTGTGCGCCCGTCACACCCGCCCTCCGCCTTCGCCCCGCTCCCTTCCGACCGGGGAGCGAACACGCGGCGCCCGGTGGCAGGAGACGGGGGAGAGGGAGAGTGCGGGCTGGGCCGCTCCGGCCGCCGCCGCTCCGGGCCGGGCCGGGGGCCGCGTCCAGGCCGCGTTTCGCGGGTGCGAAGCCGGGGAGGACGGTGCTCCTCGCTCGCCGCGGGGCCGGGCGGCGCAGCCGGGCGCCCGTTTGCCTAAATCCGGGCGCGAGAGGAGAAAAGTTTCCTTTAAACCCGAACTCAAACTTCCACCGTGAACCCCGGCGGGAGCGGCCCGGGCCGTGAGGCGTGACTCCGGCCCCGGCCCCGCGCGGCCCGGGGAGGGGCACCCGGTCCCGCCGGCCGGGGCCGTGGGTGCACGGGGCGCGGACGGGAAAGGGGCTTATTGTCCCCCGCCCGCCGGCCGCCGGTCATGGCCGCGCGGGCGGGCGGCGGCGGGCGCCCCCGGGCCGTGTCCGGCGCCCGGGCCCGCAGGCGGGGGCGCTGGGGGGGCGGCGGCCCGGACAGGGCGCACCCCCGCCCCCCGCGCCCCGGGCCCGAGCGGAGCGCGGCCGCCCGCACCCCCAGCGCCCGGAGCGCCGCCGCCGCCGCGCCCTCCTCCGCCGCCGCCGCGCCCTCCGCGCGGGCCCGCGCTCCGCCATGGAGCCGGGGCTGCTCCCCAACCACAACCCGAAAGCCGCGGGCGAGGCCCCCGCCGCGCCCCTCCCGCAGCCCCGCCACCCCCGTGCCCCCCGCCACCCCCATGCCCGCCACCCGCCCCGCCGCCCCGCGCCGCCCCCCGCCAACCCCGGCCTCGGCGGCGCGGCTCCGCCCGGCCCCGCCATGGAGCCGCCGCCGCAACATGGAGGCGCCAAGGACAGTGCCGCGGGCGGCCGCGCCGACCCGGGCCCGCCTCCGCCGGCCCCGCCGGGCGCCGAGCACGACGCGCCGCCCAAGATGGGGGAGCCGGCGGGCGGCCGCCGCGAGCCCGCGGGCCCGGGCGGCCCGGGCGCGCCGCCGCCGCCGCTGCCGCCGCCGCCGCCGGGGGCCGCGGCCGGGGGCGGCCCGGAGCCCGCTCATTACTACGGCGGCGCCGGCCCTGCGAGCGGCGGCCGCGCCGGGCCCGGCTTTGATCAACATGGCGGACAACAAAGCGCCGCGCTGGGGGTGATGCGCGCCGCCCCGGCCGCCGCCGCCCCCGGCGGCACGGACCCCCTGCGCGGCGCCCTCGGCGGCCACCCCGGCGGCCAGTGCAACCATCATCCGGGCTACGGCCGGCCCGGCGCGGGCGGCGGCGGCGGCGAAGGAGGAGGAGGAGGAGGAGGAGGTGGAGGAGGAGGAGGAGGAGGAGGAGGAGGAGGAGGCAACGCAGGAGGAGGAGGAGGAGGAGGAGGAGGAGCGGGAGCGGGAGCTGTGGCGGCGGCGGCCGCGGCGGCGGCAGCAGCAGCAGGAGGCGGCGGCGGCGGCTATGGGGGCCCGTCCTCGGGGCTCGGGGCGCTGAGCTCCCCCCGGCAGCAGCGGCAGCAGCAGGGCGGCGGCGGCGGCATGATGATGGGCCCCGGCGGCGGCGGGGCCGCGAGCCTCAGCAAGGCGGCCGGCGGCGCGGCGGCGGCGGGGGGCTTCCAGCGCTTCGCCGGCCAGAACCAGCACCCGTCGGGGGCCACCCCGACCCTCAACCAGCTGCTCACCTCGCCCAGCCCCATGATGCGGAGCTACGGCGGCGGCTACCCCGACTACAGCAGCCCCGGCGCGCCGCCGCCGGCGCAGCCCCAGCCCCCGTCCCAGGCGGCGGCGGGCGGCCCGCAGGCGGCGGGCATGGGCTTGGGCAAGGACATGGGCGCCCCGTACGCCGCCGCCGGCCCGGCCTGGGCGGCCGCGCAACAAAGGAGCCACCCGGCCATGAGCCCCGGCGCCCCGGGCCCCGGCATGGGCAGACCGCAGGTGAGCGCGGCGCCGGGCCTGCTTCCGCCGCGGCCTCGCGCGCGCCCGGCCCTTAGTTTCTTTCTTTCCGCGACTTTTCCGCGTCCCGGCGGGAGGCGGGGGCCGGCGCCCGGGCCGCTCCCGGTGGCGGGGGCCCGGGGCCGGGGAGGGGGCGCGCGGCCCGGGGGCCCGGGGGCCCGGGGTCTGGCCGAGGCCGGCCCGGCGCGGACACGGCCGGCGCCGCGCTCCCCGCCGCCACCCCGCCCCGGGCCGGGCCGCGCGCCGCCGGGACTGCGCCGCCGGGTGGCCGCCGGGTGGGCGCCGGCTCGGGGACGGGGACGGGGACGGGGACGGGCGGCGGGCGGCTTTGTAACGCCATCGGGCGGCCGGCCGGACCCGCGGCCCCAGCCCCCGGGTGGCGCCTCCCCGGGGGAAGGAGCGCGGCGCCCGGTCCCCGCTCCCCGCGCCGCGCGCCCCAAGGTGACGGGGAGCCGAGCTTTGTGGCCGCCGCGCGCCGTCCGCGGGCCGCCCGGCCGCCCGGAGCCGCTCGGGGCGGGCCCGGGAGCAGGCGCACACCCGGGTGAGCCCCGGGGCGGAGGGAGGACATCCCGGGGCCTATCGATCGGCTCCCGGGAGCCGCGGGGAGAGCCGTCCTCGCCTGCGGGCCGCCGCGAGGAGTCACCTTCAGCGGACGGCGGGCTGCGGGGCCGCGCGGGGCGCGGGGAGCTTGTTCCGATCGGGGTTGGCGGACTGTGTGCCGCGAGGCCCGGGGCCCCCGGCGGCGGGGAAAAGGCCCCCCGGGCCGGGTTATCGGGGTTCTCTTTCGTGTGCGGCCCCCGGCCCCGCAGCGCAGGAGGAAGCGCCCTGCTGGCCGGCCGGGCCCGCTCGCAGGCCGGGCCGGGGCCGGCGCTCCGCGGCGGAGGTTAGGAATTTGAATTGTGGAGGTAAACTGGCTGTAATAGTCTCCAGACAGCTGCCTCCGAGTTGACATCTAATCTGCCATCTGATTGGCTCCCCTCTCACCATTGGGCATTTAGCTCTGCTGATGTAAATACAAGTGCGAGCCGCACCGTCCCCGGTCCCTGCCACGGAGAATAGCCGGCCCTGCTGCAGGCAGACCCGGGGCTGGGCGTCAGCGGAAGGCTTACATTCTTACGAATTTTTAATAAAGGGGATCAAATACATGAGACAGGACGCTGGTGTCCAGGGTTGGGCATCTGTGACACTCCGGTCTGTGACAGCCCTAACACAGACGTGGTTGCCTGGATCGCAGTCTTTAATTGTAGGGTGAAGATATGGCAGTTGAATAATTAAACCAAGGATTTTTTTATTTTTTTTTACACCAGTTTTTGGATTTGTAAAAGTACCATTTCCAGAGCCAACTATGAGAAGTATTTGAGTTATGTCCCCACATTTTAATGTAAATGGAAAGTTAGGCTATTAAAAATGGCAAGTTTGTGTTACACAATATCTTTTAGTGAAATTTAACTAGCATCATAGCAAGGTTAAAGTTATATTTATAATAATTTACATTTGTAACAGTTCTGCTTTGAGGTGTTTGTAGATGAGATGTTTTAGTTGGAATTGACATTATATTTATAAAACATGAAGTGGGAACAACATGATGTTTACTAGTAATTAGTTAAAAGTGGATCTTTTTGTGGAAATACTAAAAGTTATTTCATATTCATTTATTTGCAGAAGATAGAAGTGCTCCAAAAACCTTTCTTTTCTCCCTTGATTATTTTGTGAGGTTGAGTAATGTGAGCCTTTTTGAACTGCTTACACAATGAATTAGGGCAACTAGATTGCATGCAAGTTGTGTTAGGTGTGTTTCTTCCAAATAATTTTTCATTCACAGGCCTTTTAATGTTAAGAAAGTTATTAGAGTTTTAGTCTATTACAAAGCAATAACAGTGGTCGTAATGTATATTTTCACTCAGCTCATTTACTTAGGAAGTTGTATTTTAATAATAATCATATCTTAGAGGAGAGACTTGTCTGAGTGATTGAAAGACTGAATTTAACTGATCCTCATGGCCACTGCTTTCAAACCTACACTTAGTGGGGTTTTACTTTTAATTATAATATATTTTCCATTCTTGATAGAAAACTTGGCTACTTCAATTTTTATTTTTTGAATCGTACAGGTAAAAACAGAGAGAAACCTTATGAAAATGTACCCACGTAATTAACTTAGAAAAGATTTGCTTTGTCAGTTTGCTTTTAAAGGACAGTTTCAAATTCACATGGTTTGTAGACTGGAAATAAAAGGATGAGAGAGGCAGATGCAAGTTCGTGCTACTTTAGAGAATCATCTCTTAATGGCACCAGTCATTTTAAGTATTTTGTTTTCTTGGAATGAGAGTGAATCCATTATGTCCTCAGTGTGACCCTTGGGAATAGCTTTTATTTTTGAGGGGGAGACAAATGACAGGCATGTGACCTAGATTCACAGATTTCTTTTAGGTACCTTACCGTGTAACATGTGGAATGTGTCTTCTTTATATTTTTTCTTTTTGGAATGGTAGTATCACTTAGTGTTTGCCCTGGTAAATGACTAAGAAACAGTCATTTGTCCAAAACATTAAATTACTACATAACTATAGGTCATAAAATGCTACTAAATCACATTAAATGATGAAATTTTCTTGTGGCTTTTAACGCATTTAGTTTCGTTTTTGATTTTAGGAAACGGTTTATATTGGGTGGCAAATGTTTTTATAATTAGGAACAAAGCATGCATGTATTGTAGGAGGAAGCACGTTTTGAAAAGTGAAATAAGCCATTTTATGACACAGTTTTGGGTTTTTGTGAGAGAAAGTATTCAGATAGAGCAGTTTCAGGAGAATATTGAGACTTGCTCATATAACTGAGATTTTATAATGTCTACATGTATACTGAATTCCAGTAATGCTATTTTAACTTTAGTTTTATAGATTGTAACACAATATAATAAAAAACCTTATCATTAAAAGGAAAGTGATTAGTTGGCCTGCAAAGCAGGAAGTTAAAGGCTGGTTCCTGATTACCTTAAAATTTGTATGATATGTTACAACTAGCATAACCATCACTCCCCACTTCCCCTACCCCAGTGAAATCTTACCCTATCTGATATTTTAAATCTTGTAACAAGAATTTGTGGCCTAGATTTCTGTATTTGCCGATGTATGGCTGGCTGGCTGGCTGCTCCGTCATCAGAAGATGTGGAATTAGCATCTGCGGTTCATAGAAAAGGCCTATTATGTAAGAAACAAAGAGAATATAATGAAAATACCTACAAATTTTCTGTTTTCCTAGGTTCTATGGGATGAAATTACACGTGGCTTAAAATTGTTTTCGTTGGAGAGCCTGTTTTCTGTGGACTTACTTTTGACAGTTCTTTTTTTAACGGCAGCTACTCTTTTAAGAAGCTATCACTTAAATTTACATTCATATTAACACAAAATCAATAAGTGTATTCCAGGAGGAAGCAACATGGTCTTACCTTGGATCTATAATGAGGACCTTTAATGCCTCTTTTTCCTTTGGTTTGGTTTTTTATCTGTGTTTAGGAATGAATTTTTGGCAAGGCTTTATATACTTGTTTCATTTTCCCAGTGTCATATGGCATCAGGGGTGTGTATCTGACCCCAAGCAGCATGTGCCTTCATTAGAAATGAGAATGCTGTTTTTACTTTGGTATAAAATAGCATTAATTCTGATCTGAGAACTGCTTTTAAGAATATAAGACCATGTAGAGGAAGACTCTGAATATAAACTCATTTGGTAATTCATTAGGCACAGACATTTTTTAAAAGATAGGGGTAATAGAATGGGGCTGTGTTTTCAGTTCTGCTTCTTATTAATGGCCTGTATTACTTTGTAATTTGGGGCAGGGTGTATCTAACAAAATGACTTTTGATCTAATGGGAACTTACTTATTTCTCTAGGATAAATACCGGCATGACAGGCAAACTGAAAAGATGATTATTTCATTTATTTAACCCTGTCCTCTCCTAGAGAGAAAGTGGTTCGATTTAACATTTGTTGGGGCCTCTGCTATTTTGCTACTTTTTTGAAGACTGATTTGGAGATATCAGTTTCAGATGTATTAGTGTGGGAAACTGTTAGCTTTTGTCCAGTGTCCTAAATATAGAGGCTCTTCTCACCATCCTAGACTGACACCGTTCTGTTTGCGGAAAAGGAACTAATATTTCACTTGTGTCGCTCTCATTTTGGGCTGTGGGTAGATTTGTAAATTTGAGGCTTATATTTATGCTGGAAAGAACTGTCGTGTGTTACTGAAAGCAGTGGATTTATGAAGGCGCAAAATGAATATTAAACTCATTCCGTTAATTGTTTTTGCAGTATTTAGATTTTGAAAATGGCTGTTACAAAATTTTTATGACATTTTAAAATGCTGTTTGTACTTAAGGGGCCACTTCCACGTCCGAGGCCTCTTTGGGATTGGGTGGTTTTTGGTAGCTTGCCTTTTAAGAGGGTGTCCTTCCTTTACCAGCAGGCCTGTGCAGGTTCTCGGTGGGTATGTAAAGTGGAGCCACACACTGGCTGTGCCTGCCTGCTTGAGGCTGCGTAGTCCCCAGTCCTCGTTCCCTGTGGTGTGGAAAACTCATCCACAAGGATAGATATGTATTTATGTGACATAAATGTACATCTGTTTATTCAGAGTTGCTTTTTCCAGTTCGGAGGCTATTTATACAAGTCTAAGTGGCCCTCTTTGGTTTGAGTGATTGAAGGAATTAATTTTGTTCTAAAAACCCAGTAATACTTTAGTGACTTTTTCTTTTAGAAATTTGATGGGGGAAAAAAAAAAAAAGACTTAGGTACCATTGCCTTGATATCATTAAATATTCACTTATATTGCTTTATGCTAACATCAGAATGCAGGGAATCATTGAAATATGTACATGTATTAAGTAGTTTTAACACTTCACATCAATTGAATAAATGAGTGAATTTATTTATCAAAGTAAAATATATGTTCCCACAGTAAGTTTTCAGTAAACATGTGCTATTTT